GTGTGGGTAGATGAAGTCCCTGTGGGACACGTCATCAGCCCACACTAGATAGACTGTGAGATTCCCGCACATGCCCAGTGAAACACCTGGACATGCGAACAGGAATTTCATCTATTCATTCATTCATCAGACAGACGAATGAGTGAATAGAAATATCAGCCGAACAAACTAACACTGTGTATCAGTGTTCGTTTGTTCGTGCAGTTTATTACAAGGAGGGAGCTACCGGCACTCAGCTCCCTCCTTGCAATATGTAAAGATAGAAGTGGCAGGGAGCAGTGCTCCCCACCACTTCATAAGCCCCCCCCAGGTCCACCCTCACTCTATGGGGGTCAATATGACCCCCATAATAGCACAAGGGAGATTAAAATCTCCCCAATGCCCCTACTTGCTATACCGCGAGGGCATGTAGGGGCATGTCCACTAAACAGTGAGCAGCCTGTGGCTGCTCAGTGTAAAAAAAAACAAAAAAAAAACTATTGGCCCCCACCCCTAAATGACGGGTGGGGGCCCTAAAGTAAAATAAGGGGGGAGACCTAATGTCCCCCCCCGGCCACCACCCTTGCGTGGCGGGTGGGGGCCATAATGATAAAGAGGGGGGGGACCTACTGCCCCCCCCCCCGGCTCCCACCCCTGGGCGACGGGTGCGGGCCATAATGAGAATGAGGGGGGGGGGACCTACTGCCCCCCCAGCCCCCACATGCCCCTACTCGCAGTATAAAATCTCCCCAATGCCCCTACTTGCTATACCCCTAGTAGGGGCATGTCCACTAAACAGTGAGCAGCCTGTGGCTGCTCACTGTAAAAAACAAAACAAAAAAAAACTATTGGCCCCCACCCCTAAATGACGGGTGGGGGCCCTAAAGTAAAATAAGGGGGGAGACCTAATGTCCCACCCCTGCGCGGCGGGTGGGTGCCATAATGAGGGGGGGGACCTACTGCCCCCCCGGCCCTCACCCATGGGCGGCGGGTGGGGGCCCTAAGTCAATTTCCCCCCCCACCAAGGTGACTAGGGGTCCCCAAGCCCCTAGTCACCCACCCTCCCACCCAAATAAAAATCCCTACCTACCCCACTCACCCTAAAAAATAGTGAGAGGGGAATAAAATAACTAACCTGTAAAATAAAATTTAACTTACCATTCTTCTTTTTTCTCAAATCTTCATTTTTCAGCCCCAAAAAAAGGCCAAATAAAAAACCAACATAACCGTCGAATTGAAAATAAAATAAAAATCCCGAGCGCAAAAAAATAATCTGTCTTCACCCATGGAGGGCTCCGCACAGACTGAGCTCAGCAGGGCGGAGCAAGGCTTATAAAGCATTGCCCCGCCCTGCAATTAGGCTAAGAACACTCTGATTGGTGGGTTTAAGCCAATCAGAGTGCTCTTTGTCATTTTACACAGCGTGGGAAAATTCCAAAGAACTTTCCCACGCTGTGTAAAATGACACAGAGCACTGTGATTGGATGGATTTCAACCATCCAATCACAGTGCTCTGTGTCATTTTACACAGCGTGGGAAAGTTATTTTGAATTTTCCCACGCTGTGTAAAATGACACAGAGCACTGTGATTGGATGGATTTCAAGCCATCCAATCACAGTGCTCTGTGTCATTTTACACAGCGCGGGAAAGTTCTTTTGAATTTTCCCACGCTGTGTAAAATGACAAAGAGCACTCTGATTGGCTTAAACCCACCAATCAGAGTGTTCTTAGCCTAATTGCAGGGCGGGGCAAGGCTTTAAACAGAGTGTCGTCCCCCCCTCATTATCTTTATGGCCCCCACCCACTGCCCATGGGTGGGGGCCGGAGGGGGGGTGGATAGTAGGTCCCCTCCTCGTTATCATTATGGCCGCCGCCCAGGGGTGGGGGCCGGGGGGGCAGTAGGCCCCCCCCTCATTATCATTATGGCCCCCACCCGCCGCCCAGGGGTGGGGGCCGGAGGGGGGGAGGACAGTAGGTCTCCCCCCTTATTTTACTTTAGGGCCCCACCCATCGTTTAGGGGTGGGGGCCAATAGTTTTTTTTTTTTACAGTGAGCAGCCACAGACTGCTCATGGTTTACCAGACATGCCCCTACTCACGGTATAGCGAGTAGGGGCATATTATTTACTAATACTAAGTAATTTTTACTTGGTATTAGTAAATGTGGCTGAAAGACCAATTTAGGTCTTTCAGCCTTTTAGTAGATAACTCCCTGATACCGTGGGAATTATGGAGTTATCTACTAAGCGGCTGCAAGGTGCAGCCACAGCAAGAATAGGATCGGAGTTTCATTCATTCGAATGAAATTGCGATCCGAATAAAGTGCCGAATTGCGTTCTAAAACAAACGAACATACTGTTCTCATTCAGTTAGAACACAATTCGGCAGTTTCGTGTAAAGTGACAGGAAGCATCGCGGGAACACAGAGGAAAGGTGAGAATTGTGGGAAAATTGCTCTGACCAGCGGAAATGAAGCACACTTTGCTCCTCCGCTGGTCAGAGCTGGTCAAGCGGAGGAATCCTCCATAAGGCAAAGTCCCTACTTTGTCTTATGATTTTAAAGAAAACTAAAGAAGACAGGAAGAAAAGAAGAATAGATCCTGAGAGAGGGGGAGAAGAGGAAGAGATTGAGGAAAGGTAAGTTTGGCATGACAGTGCCGCTTTAAGTTCTCCTGCAAAATGTCTTGATAAACTTGGGAATTCATTTTTCTTTCGATGATATCAATCAGTCCAGGCCCTGACGCAGCAAAAGCAGCCCCAAACCATGATGCCCCCACCACCGTACTTCACAGTTGGGATGGGGTTTTGATGTTGGTGTGCTGTGCCTTTTTTTCGCCACACATAGTGTTGTGTGTTTCTTCCAAACAACTCAACTTTGGTCTCATCTGTCCACAGAATATTTTGCCAGTACTGCTGTGTTTGCTCTTGTGCAAACTGTAAACGTGCAGCAATGTTTTGTTTGGACAGCAGTGGCTTCCTCTGTGGTATCCTTCTATGAAATCCATTCTTGTTTAGTGTTTTATGTATTGTAGATTCGCTAACAGGGATGTTAGCATTTGCCAGTGACTTTTGTAAGTCTTTAGCTGACACTTTAGGATTTTTCTTCACCTCATTGAGCAGTCTGCACTGTGCTCTTGCAGTCATCTTTAGAGGACGGCCACTCCTAGGGAGAGTAGCAGCAGTGCTGAACTTTCTCCATTTATAGACAATTTGTCTTACCATGGACTGATGAACAGCAAGGCTTTTGGAGATACTTTTATAACCCTTTCCAGCTTCATGCAAGTCAACAATTCTTAATCGTAGGTCTTCTGAGAGCTCTTTTGTGCGAGGCATTATTCACATCAGGCAATGCTTCTTGTGAAAAGCAAACCTAGAACTGGTGTGTGTTTTTTATAGGGCAGGGTAGCTGTAACACACACCTCCAATCTCATCTCATTGATTGGACTCCAGTTGGCTGACATCTCACTCCAATTAGCTCTTGGAGATGTCATTAGTCTATGGGTTCACATACTTTTTCCACCTGCACTGTGAATGTTTACATGGTGTGTTCAATAAAAACATGGCAACATTTCATTCTTTGTGTGTTATTAGTTTAAGCAGATGGTGATTGTCTATTGTTGTGACTTAGATGATGATCAGATCACATTTTATGACCAATTTGTGCAGAAATCCTTATCATTCCAAAGGGTTCACATACTTTTTCTTGCAACTGTAAAAACAATTGAGTGTATATTGTCCTGATAGTGGGAAAAACGTGAACGGCGTGCACTTCATATCTGAGAGTCAAATAGAACCGTCAAATACTGTGGTTACATCGCATTTTGTAAAATTCAAATTTTTTGGGTGCTAAATAGTACATTTGCTGCCTGCGGTGCACTTCATATCTGAGTGTCAAATAGAACCGTCAAATTCTGTGGTTACATCGCACTTTGAAAAATTCAAATGTTTTTGATGCTAAATAGTACTTTTTCCTTCTTGCAGTCCAATAAAACCCTAAAATACTACTGTTACATTGTTGGTTTAAAAAAAAAATCACACTTTTTTGTGCTAAATAGAACATTTGCGGCCTGCGGTGCATTTCTTTCAGTCCAATAAAAATGAGAAAGAGGAAGAACCCCCCTACCCACCCGCGATCCCTGGCCCTGAATGCCAGCATTTCAAAATTCCTGGCCTTTGAAATGCTGTCATTCCGTCTGGTGGAGACGGACAGTTTTAAAAACCTGATGGCGGTGGCTGTCCCACAGTACGTGGTTCCCAGCTGCCACTACTTTTCCAGGCGAGCCCTGCACAACCAATTGGCGGACAAAATCAGGTGTGCACTGCGCAAGGCCATCTGTGGCAAGGTCCACATAACCACTGATACGTGAACCAGTAAGCACGGGCAGGGACGCTATATCTCCCTAACTGCACACTGGGCAAAATGTAGTGGCGGCTGGGCCTGAGGCGGATAGCAGTTTGGCGCATGTCCTTCCGCCACCGAGGATTGCAGGGCATTTCTCTTTGCCTCCTGTTGCCTCCTCCTCCTACTCCGCTTCCTCCTCCTCTACCACCTTCTCATCCGGTTAGCGTAACACCTTCACCACCAACTTCAGCACAGCCAGGGGGAAATGACAGCAGGCTGTTTTAAAACTCATATATATATTTTGGGGGAAAACCCCACACTGCGCAGGAGCTGTGGATGGGCATAGAACAACAGATCGATAAGTGGTTGTTGCCACTGAGCCTCAAGCCCGGCCTGGTGCGAGAATGGGCGAAATCTCGTAGCAGCTCTGGGCCTAGCCTGTTTGATGCACATCCCTTGCCTGGCGCATGTGCTGAATTTGTTGGTGCAGAAATTCCTGAAAAATTACCCAGATATATCAGAGCTGCTGCAGAAAGTGCGGGCCGTCTGTGCGCGCTTTCGGCGTTCTCAGCCTGCTGCTGGTCGCCTGTCTGCGCTGCAGCGTAACTTCGGCCTTCCCGCTCACCTCCTCATATGCGACATGCCCACAAGGTGGAGAGACTGTGCGAGCAGCAGCAGGCGATAGTGGAGTTTCAGCTGCAGCACGCACGGGTCAGTCGCTCTGCACCAGACTTGCCCTCCAATAGATCCTTGTTAAAGGATTTAAAGTGTACTCATTCCAATTACAGGGCCTCGAAAGAGCACTGTATTGTTATTTATCGTCACTTCCCCCCCGCGTCGGGAGTGGATAATCAGGGCGCCTGCTGCCTTCCTTGGATGCGGTAGCCGTTTCTCAGGCTCCCTCTCCAGAATCGAACCCTGATTCCCCGTTACCCGTGGTCACCATGGTAGGCGCAGAAAGTACCATCGAAAGTTGATAGAACAGACATCCGAATGCGTTGTCGCCGTCACGGGGACGTGAGATCGGCCCGAGGTTATCTAGAGTCAAAAGTGCCTGCGCAAAGACTGCCGAGTTGCCCACATTCTAACTGTAATGAAATCCCTGTTTGAATAGACTCAAAGAAACAGCCTTTCAGCTATTTATTCATATGGATGACTATTTCGTGCTGTTGCAATAAATCGAACAAAGTACCGAATCTCCCGACCTCCCACTGAGGTCGTGTGCAGCTCATTTACTTCCCAGACCTTGCGGTTAACCGCAGGGTAATTGAGGAAAGGCTTGGTGGTCCACGTTTGTTTGCCGAACACGTGGCGGTTGCCATTTTAAATTGTCGAACGCTCAGCAGGGCATGGCGGCGATTCTCTTGAACTATTTCTGGACACTTATTCAGCCGAACACCGCTGGCGCGTACCATGTTCCCCGTTCATACGGCTAAAAACTCACGAATACATTGAACACTTTACCGTTCGTATCTTTTCTATTATACGAAATAGACCGACCCCAGATAGCTACAGTTATGGAACTCTTTTCGGATTCAATCCCGCGAACAACCAGTGAATTAAAACTTCACTCGACGATATTGAGACCTGTGTTCGTGGGATCTGAGCGCTATTCGGCTAGAATGTGCGCTCAGATCCAAGCTATCTGGGGGTATGTGGAACTTAGAGTCTACGTTCAGTGAAATATAAGCTATAGATTTTAATACTGTTTTGTGAAAATATAAAAAGGACATGTTTTTCTCTACCTGGAGATAATTAGGTTCTCTCCCACCACTTAAGTTAATTTTCTCCAGGATAGAGAGGAGGGGTTGCACTGTTACTGTGGGTGTGTTTAACTTTTGTGTTGTATACTGATTGGCTCTGTATATTTTGTCACAGTCTTCCACAAGGTCCCATGTGGGAGTTCCCTTGCTGAGAGACCATCATAAAAGGGCTAAGTTTGGCCATCAATAAAGCAGATCGTTTTACCCCTTCATGAAGTCTCGACTCATGTTTGGGGGATTGGGAGCTATAATAACTTTACTTTATTTCAGCTTGGATTTCGGGAGAAGCTACAAGGATCAGCACTGCACGAATAGCAGGATCTTTTACACTAACGTGTTCTGATCCCCGTCAGGGCCGTCTTTAACAAGGGGCAAACAGG